TAAATCAATATATGTTTTCCGAAAAAAATAAATAAATAAATATATATATATATAATATATATATATAATATATATATATATATATATATATATATATATATATATATATATATATATATATATATATGTGTGTGTTTTCCGGTATGAGATCCATGTTATAAAAACATGATTAAATGAGACACCTAGCAAGATTTATATTTACTGAATCGACCTATAATTTTATGATATATGTATTTATGTGTTTAAATATTCATCCGACATTTTAACCAAAAAATAAATATTCATCCGATGGTTTATTGATATTTGATAAAGGGTCGTTTGATTTGTTTGTGAATTGTGAGGATAAGTGGATGTCACTAAGGAGACACCCTGACGTGGGACAACACTATAAGGATGGGACAAGTGTGACCCTTCAAGGCTTCAACATGTATAATGTATTATTATTATAGGACTAATACCACTTTAACCACTAACGTAATTTCAATACGTTTATTAACAAAAACAACTCTCCCTTTTTTTGTTACAAAAATAAAGGAATTGCATCGACAAACTATGGGGTATGGCGATCCAAACGTATACTTCGAAAATAAGTTAACTAACTGGCGGAAAACTACTCTAAGCGTTTACACGTCGCCGTCGGATCGGCCGGAGTCTAAAGTGTCTTCTAAGTTCAATCAAAAATAAAGTAGAATTGTTTTTAAACTTAGAAAAAAAAACAGAAAAAGCCAAACTAATGAGTTTGTCTACTAATCACGATGCCGTATGTTTTTAATAGATAACCTGAGTGAAATGATCTCCATCTGGTCTAAAATTACCTTTTCTTTACTCTTAGAGCAACTTTTATATTGTTGCGCATATTTACCTCCTTACAAAGTTCTTTTATCAATCTTGAGAATCTCCAATATCACTCTATTCGCTACAATGTTTTAATTTATAATAGAGTTACTTTATTATAGAATAAACTATGAAAGTATAAGCTACTCTATAATAGTATACTTTATTTTTTATTCTATAATAGTATTATTGTATTTTTAATAGAAATTATAGAAGAAAAAAAAGTTTGGGTTGAAGAAATTAATTTAGAACTTAGATAAAAATGAAAGAAATTAATTTCTGAAATATTCAAAAATTGTGAAAGCTTCAAATCACTTGTTAGTCATTCTTAAAATTTGCTTAAAAAGTATGTTATAGCACTGAAAACCGATTTATAATACTACAAATCGTACATGTAACCCCTCAATGGTGGTCTATTGGCATGCAGATTCAAGGGCATTTCAATACATTCTTTCTGTTATTATAAATTACTTACGACTCATTTAAATATTTGGATAGAGTGTTCATTTCTGGGCTATACCTCTAATAAAAAATTAGTGTGTCTTTAATTACATAGGGTCTAAGACACCTCTGTCTTAGAAAAAAATATATTCTATTCATTTTCTTTATTTGACGTTTTAGAAAAATTCTTTTGTTCCAAATTATTTGACGTTTTCAATTTTTATGTAAAAATTATTAATAATTAATGCTAGATGACCATTGTTATATTTGCTATTTTATTATTGATTGAATTGTAGTTAAGTTAACAATTAATAATGTTTTGTTTAGAAAATAAAGAAAATTAAATGTTTTGTAATCTATGTGTATAATTCTAAAACGTTAAATATAAAATAACAGACGGAGTACTATATATACTTATGGTCTATGACTAGTGTTTGAACCATATAGACTATAATAAACCAAAAAAATTACAAGTTACCAAAAACTTATTAAAAATAGTAAGTATCTATGGAAGTTTGAGAAATAATGTGAAAATTTCCAAAATTATAGAAAATTTCCAAAAATTATAGAAAATTTCATAACTTTGAAAAAGGAGCCAAATAATTTGAGAAAACCTGAGGAACAACGCCATTTCTTAGACCAGAAAAAAACAACGCCATATTTATTTAGCAATCGGTTAACGGTGTTAACACAAATAAGTTTATGTCAACTGAGAAATAATGTAAACATGTTTTATATGTTGACATTTAAATTTTCAAAAGAGGCTGTTATGCTATTGTCTATAGATATTTTAGCTACCTATAGAGCTTTTAGCTAGAAATGGGTTCAAATATATATATTCTCAACCAAAAATGGCATATTATTACTTGGGGCCGATAGATTCATATGATTTTACAATAATAAAGCCTATACATTGTCCCGCAGTTACACGCATTTTATTAGGTCATAGTATTTCTACTCAAACTTTTCTTTATGTTTGTTAGTAATGATTACTCAGAGCCCTGTTCCGTTAGTTAAATAAATAAAACTTCACTCAATTATCTTGGAAAATGAAGAAGTTATGTGTTTTCTTCCTATTAGGCGATTAGTGTTCTGCAACTATTTTGTGGGTTGGCTTTTTGCATGCGAGATCTTTCTCATGTCCAAAACATATACTGACTTTCTATTTTTTGTTTTTGTTTTTATTCATCTCAATTGCATTTGTTTGGCATGCATAAATAGATTAATCATGGGAAAATCCACTTTATTTGACATGAAATTTAGTGGGATTTCTTATCACTAATTTACTGATATACTCTCTCTCTCTCTCTCTATTTCACTATTTTTTTAAAAAAAGAAAACTTGTTACAGAATTAATGAATATCACTTTAGAATTCCAATACAATTTATATTTATTTTAGGCTTAACTTTAATACAAAATGCTTTGATTTGATAATAAATTCATTTTTCTTAACAACTACTGGTTAAATTGATGTATTTATTAAAATCATAAATACATTTTAATTATTTTAATCTATTAATGTGACACTCTTTATAAAACTGAAATAGTAATTGTCATAATCTAATTTATATAGTCTCCTCTATAACCAAATTTTTCATCAATGGATTACAATTTCCACCTTTAACATGATAATTTTATCTCTTTCTTTTTATCTTTCACGCTTTTGTGCTACATAAGCTATATCTTCCTGTCCAATAACTGTATTTTCAGTGAGCAATCACTCACCTCTCTTAAGTTTGTACTACTCAGTGTGAAAAGATTTATAGCTATAACCCAAAAAACAAGATTTTACAACTCCTTTTTACATGTCTTCATTGCTATCTTCATCAGCTTGTTTTCCTCATTCACGTCTGTGACTTGGTCAAAAAAGCAATAAGAGAACCTACGTCTTTTCAGCAATTGCAATCACAGGCCCCAACTAAGAAAAAAGGAGAGAAAAAGATTTTGCTAACACTTAAAGGTAATACCAATGATAATTCCTTAAATCTGCATGCGTTTTCCACTGTTTTCGTCCCATAAATGTAGTGTTATGATACAATAACAATGTAAACACGATTAGTGTGTCTGCCACAAACAAAAAAAAGGCGGAAGTACAGCCATCTATATTGTTGTCTCTATCATTAATGTTCATCATGCCACTCTACGGCTCAAATGTCACAACTTGGAATCTTCAGAGACACAGAGAGATCATCCACACACGCAGTTTATTTTACACAAGAAAATCAAGAAACATCGTTTTCAAAACGATCAGTCACGCTTACATTCAAGCAGTGGAAGACACACTGACGTCTCGTCTCTTTAGACAAGACTCTCATGTTCGTTACATGTTTATAGCCAACCAAACCGCCACATGAATTTGCTATTTTGTCGTTATAAACAAACATGGCCCTTGTGGAAAAGCTTGTTTAGTTCAGTAATCTAGAAGTCATTAATATTTTTACACTAATTTTTTTTTTCAAATTCTCGAAAATATGAATTATGTAAGATTAATAAAGAAAAAAGTTACATGAGATGTTTATATACCAAAAAAATTGAAGTTTCGAATCTCTGACAATGTAAATTCTACATATTAATGGAGAATTTTTTTTCACTAGATGTTTATATACCAAAAATTTCAAGTCTCGAATCTCTGAAAATGTAAATTCTACATTTCGATAAAAAAAAGAAGTAAATTCTACATATTAATGGAGACATTTTTTACAAGAGATATTCAACATATTAATGGAGACATTTTTTACAAGAGATATTCAACATGATGGAAATAAAACGATTAAGATTTAAATCTTTAAAAAGCAGCTCAGACTAGAGCAATACTTTTTTTTTTTAGTCAACGATTCGACTAGAGCAATACTTTGCCAATTGTATCAACATTTACTCAATATTTTCATAATTCGTAATAGCAAATTAAACAAACATTTTAAAAGAAAACAATCACTTTCATAATTTGCATATTTTTTGCCTTCAATATCTATCTTATTAAAGTTGTAGTACTCTTTAGGTTTGTTTGGAAACTTAAATAGTAGTAATAAAGAGTTTAATGTTGTTTGGCTATATGTTTAAAGGAGTTGGGCTTTTAAACATTGTTATAATAGAATTGAACTTTTGTTTAATTTATTTTATGTTATGGTTGGCTTTAATCGTTTGGCCCATTGTAGTAATTTGTGTTTTTAGTTTATATTTTATATAAAGACCATATTCAATTTTATTTATTGTTGACTAAATTAAAAATAACATCAGTTTTTAAGATAATAACAATTTACATTTCAAATAATTTAATACTCAATTATATTTTATCTAAAGTATTTTACATTATTCAAATTATCATAAAGACACAAAATATTTGAATAGTTTTAACTAAAATATTAAAATTTTGTTTTCGTAACTGGATATTTATCCAAAACACCTATTCCCCCCCCCCCCAAAATCAGTTTTACCCCGATTAATCTAAAATTAATCCTAGAAATTGTAACCAAACCGTTATCATATTGGAACCAAAAATTTATCTGATATTAGTCGGTTATTATAATTATTACCAAACTCAGCTCAAACCAAAAGAATCGAACCGGACGCAAATCAATTTATATAGATAACAGAACAGATCTTATATCTATAGAATTAAAAAAACTACGAACATAAAGAATCCAACAAAAGTTGAACCCAAAATTAAACACCAGTCCTATTACATTCAAGACGATCATAGTTTTTGAAATACGGTAATAACCGATGACTTATGAATATATTATGCGTTTCCAAATTAAGTTAAACCCGCGCCGGTGCGCGGGTCAAGATCTAGTTACAAATTAAAAATGTAAACCCCCTCTTCTCTCACTAAAGTTTCTTTGATCAAAATAACTCCGTGGTAGTTATATATTGATGAGAAACATCCCACATCGGAAATATAAGAATTAAAGGATTGGTGCCAATCCACTAATCACCAATTGGTTTTAAGTTGGAAGCCCATAACAAACCCAATTCTAACATGGTATCAGAGCCATAAGATCCTTTGACCTAATTTACTACAATTACTACTAAACCGATGTTGGACCCTTTGTGGATGTTATTCCCACATTGTCCACGCTTCAGACCTAGAGATGTCTGAGCGTGAGGGAGGGTATTGATGAGAAACATCCCACATCGGAAATATAAGAATTAAAGGGTTGGTGCCAATCCACTAATCACCAATTGGTTTTAAGTTGGAAGCCCATAACAAACCCAAATCTAACATTATAACATTTCGACAATGAACACACATGAGATTCATTTTACTGCTCTCCTGCATCATCTTCACCAGCTTTCTTATACTCTGGTTTAAGCTCATATGTCCCTTGGTTCGATCCTCTCTTATTATACACACACAACTCGTTCAATATCTCTTTCAAAAACTGAGCTGGTTGGTCTGTCTCTTGTACAAGCTGCTTCAAAGTCCAGTTTGGTTGGCCTTCGAATAGCTTAAACATTATAGCTTCAAGCTCCCCACGATCTCTCCTCGTCCTCTTCACCTCTGTTTGCTTCACTGGAGCAGGCTTCCTCTTCTCCTGCTCATGAATAACTAAAGATCAGTAACATTGATCAAACAAGGACACTAACATGTAGAATAATAATATTATTACCTTTGAATTGGATGAAACTAAACCAAGCATTCCAGGCATTGGTCTCATATGTACTCCACGGTCGTTATCAATAACCTTTTAGTTACAACTTATCTAATTAGATTAGAGTTAAAAAGAGAGTACAAGAATGAGAAAGAACAAAATACCTGTATCTGTCTACTTTTAACCATGGATTTGCTTGTTCTCTCTCGACAAAGCTTTGCATACTCTTCAATGTCTTCACCATGTGGCTTCATATCAAACTTGTGTTCTACTTTGCCTTCACTAGCTGGATCACCTAGATTGGCTTCTGAGAAGATACCCATTGGAACAAAGTCTTTAAACATGTTCAAAGCGTAGGTCTTTGGCATGTTCCCGTACTCAGCACCAACCATCTCCATAAAAAACTAATAATAACATCAAAACATCAACAAGTGTGTTCTTGAAAACCAGATCTAGAGTTCTTTAAGAATCAAGAAGTGGATTTAATACCTCTGTTTCTGATTGTAGAGGATCAAGGGATTCAACGACTTTGGCTAAGCTATTGAATCCAGAGGAAGAGAACGAAGAGGACGAAGAAGAGGAAGGAGCTTGCTTTGACCAGGCTTTGGCGACTACTACAGGACTCTTCATTAACCAAACAGGTCGATCTGATTTTTCTAACTCGAGTTCGTGGATGTTGTTACTTCGATCATCTTCCATGGTCAACTCGACAAGACTTTTTCCTTTTTTTTTTTTTCTCTTGTCTGAAATCGAATCTTTTGTTTCTATTACTTCTCTTCAGTTCTGATCTAGAAACTTTGTTTCGGATCTTTTTGTTTTGTTATGTCTTTTTCTTACTCTTCTTCGTGTTTTGACTTTGAAGCCGAGGTGAAAAGAAAAGGTAAAAATCATCTGGGAGACCCGACCCGTTTATTAAATATCCAGACTAATTGGGCCAAATCCGATTTTGAAACCATGTTTCCTGGCCCATTTTTCTATTTGAAAAAGCCCGTTTTATCTGGAGCTGTCTTTTAATACCCGGACTAATTGGGCCAAGGTAATTTAGTATATGGAGTATGTTCATTTTCTAGGATACATTTACACCAACTAATTTATAAAATTAACATGCATGGATGTATATTGTGTTGGATACAAACACATTGTATGGACCACGACTTTGTGCTGACAAATACGCCGAGATTAGAAATGGATGCCGTTGATATAGAGCAAACGACAAATATGTAATTTATGGAAAGACTTTAACTAAATCCATGAGAAACCCTAACCACTACTTTCACTCAGTTGCTTAACGTATAAGGGGGACCAATCTATTTCTTTTAAGGAATTTGTTTTCTTTTGTTCTCTTATCTAGTTACATATGCTGTTACATCTGCATTAAAAACTAAGATTATTTTTTTGGTCTTCAACTAATAAACAGTGATTCATATAAGTCTTAGTATTAGTTTTAAATTTGTGTATTGACAATACACATTGAGTGTGTTAAAAAAAAAAGACAATACACATTGAGTTCTTTTTTTCTATAATAGGAGAGTATCTACTTATGTGGCGTGTAGAAGCCATATTACTTGTATTTCAAAATAGTCACTAGCCTATGCTATAATTAGGAAGCTAGATATCAACATTGTATTGAAATATAAATATATAAGGTAAGGTTACAAAATATATATACATATATATGGTAAAATACAAGTGAGAGATATCTTATCCTAACAACTCAAACATGATATTGCTTATGTTCATGATTGGTTTTAACTTTTAAGGAGATGAGAGAAGTGAAAATGTAAAAAAAAAAAAAAAGAAGTTCTTATATGTATAGGGGCGCAAATGTGATTCAGTTTTATTTTTGTTTTTATTTTGCTCACATTGTCACTGTTTCATATTGACGTGTTGGGAGATTTACAGTATATGATTTATGAAAAGAGGATGGAGATAAAGAAAGTAAGTGTCCTATCAATCATTATCGAGTTAGGTATTAGCAGAATGATGCATTTCAAAATCTTTGTGCGATACTAGTCTCTCACTTTGACCATAAACTTTACAATGTTACAATGATATGATGTGTCCAGTCTTTGGACTCTTCGTGTTTCTTGACCCATTATTTTCCCTTTTTGAAATAATTAATTAACAATTTACTTGCAAACTATCCCTTCAAACTTAACCTACCATTATCTCTAATGGTAATTAATGACATTGCCTAACATTTGACTAGCGAGAAAGCTCGAAGTATACGTAGTACCATCGGAACCACATTGCGTAATAATAAAGGGAATATTTATATAAAGTTATGGCTAGAGAAAGGAAAACGATAAGCTAAATTCTACGAGGCTGTATAGCTTTAGTGAAACAAGAAGTACGCCATATTAAGCAAAATATCATAGGGGGTGGTCGTTATTTTTGGATCAGCTACTAAGCTACAGGTACTGAAATTTATATATTTTAAAACTAAACAAAATTAGTTTGAACGAGAGAGACTGAAAGAATAGATCACATGTGATGAGTCAGACACTGCAGTTTTAGAGTAACTTCCATATTCTCCTCTGCGTTTTAACTTGTCCTAAATCAAGCATTCTATAACAGTACTAGCTTAATCATTATTGTCATTAATAGTATCAGCTCACACATACATGTCACATTTAATACAATTTCGCGAGGATAACTAAACTGATTTAGACGTTCATAACTCTATGTATATATATATATATATATATATATATATATATATATCAGTCGTTTGTAGATGTGTATACTAAAAATTCTAAGGAAATTTTTATATTATAAAATGAGGAAATATTCGCTACTGACGAATGATAGTCACATCCATGCAAGTAGTGATCAAATAGCTAAAATTAGCATAGTTCTGCAGGAAGGTAGTTTGGGTATGAATGCCCTATATTACTATATATCCGTTTACATTCATATACGCCAATTAACAAATCACATGTTACGTATGGAGTCATTTAATTGACCTTATCGAAATAGTTAAGCCTCAGCGTCCTAATATTGTAGAGAGGGGTTGAGTCTAGTGCAATGACACAATATAATCTTAGTTAAAAACCATAGCTTAAAAAGTAAAACCAAATGTATATACCTTTGACTCATTCAATTAGACTTCAATAATCAATAAACCAGATTAAAGTTAATGCAAGAATATGATTTAAAACCATCCAGTTCTTTACCTAAAATTTTCCATATTTTCCGAGATTTTGGTTATATTTCAATTGAGAATTAAGTCTACATCTTTACTCTGGAGAAACTAAATTGGATAGTATATTAGTATATATGTTGCTTAAAGTTTTCTTAAAAATATGTTCAAAAAATCTTTGATCAATGTAACACGAAACCTAGTCAAGTCATCTTTAGATCCGGCAAGCAAACGTATAAACTGGGGGAAAAGCAGCTTCGAGCTCAACACCAACCAGAAAGCTAATTCAATATCAGACCCCAAAATATTTTAATTAATAAAAAAACAAATACTAGATGGTTTGACATTATTTATAAAGTACTGCATTTTATATAAATTGATATATCAAACTGAGAAATTGCAATAACCAAACCATAAATTAAGAGATCAAACTTTGAAACTAGAATAATAATACAACTCTCATTGATTTTCTTGAAAGATACAGACGCGCGTACGATGTGCATGTTAATCATCACCACCAAACCAAGTAGCAACCTAGCTAAGAGAGTTCTAACAAATTGCACCAAATTTCAAGACTAATGCGAATACAAGAGAAAAGAAATGTCTCATTATTATAACGTTGCAAGTATTAAATAACTTAGTCTGATACTCAAGACCTCGGAGGTGTGAAGAATGGCGTACCGGAGATAAAAGAGTTCATTTGAGCCGGATAAAGCGACGAAGGATCGATCAATAATCCATTGTTATTGTTTCCGGCGACAGTAACCGCCGTTTTAGCAGCTGTCTCTTCGGCATTGGTGGTTGTGGCAGTGGAGGTAAGGAGGTCAAGTTGGTGATGATGTTCTTGATCTGGTCCTTGGTCATAAAGAATGCCTTTAAATAAATGTCCTCCAATGTTCACAGCCGTTTGATAAGCATATTCTTGATCATCTTCATCATCCTCTATCGAACTCACTCGAACGCATCGGAAAACCGCCGGTGAGCTAACTTCCGGTGGTAAGTTTTGACTCACCTCAAACCCTAAATTTCATTAAAACTTATTATAAGAATAATAAAAATAAACCTAAGCTTTTTCGGCCTCTTTTCGTAACATGTTCTTGATTTTTATCCAATGAAGAAAACCAAGACCTATTATTATTTTTTTAATTGAGTTTTACAAGGATAAAACCCTTTTATGTCGTCAAGTTTACTAAGAAACAGTAACTTAGACAAAATAAAGCAGCAATATTCACACGCAAATGATGTTGTACTTCTCCACAAACTTTCATAATTAAAACTTTGACACTTTTTTTTCTATCAATTTCGTAAGTTTAATTCAGTATCATCAATTTGAAAAAAAACACAAACCATGATCAAAATTTTACCTGAATGAGAATTAGCATTTACCAAACGTGTAGCAAGAGCCGATCCACCACTACCACTTTGGTCTTTATCATCATTATCACCACCATTAGCTTCTCGTAGGCGTTTTGCTTTTGCGTTTTGCGTTTCACGGCTGGTGGCTGAATGGTGCTGCAAGGAAGCGAGTTGAGCTAAACGCTCACGGCGTTTAGCAGCAGGAACCCAAGTGCTCTTAACGTGTGTCTGACAGTGAAAGCCTCGACTCTTACAACAAGTTCTACATCTCATATGAGGACAATCTTTCTTAGCTTGATTCCCACAATCTTGGCAATTCATACCTCCTTGTCTTGTCACCGTGAACCCTCCCGGCTCATGATCGGAGACTACGTTGAAGTATAAGCTCCGGCTCCGGTTATTGTTGTTGCTGCTGCTTGGGACCATTCCGAAGGAGTATAAGTTTGTAGAAGCTGTGACATGTTGTTGTTGTTGTTGTTCTTGTTGTTGTTGGAAGTATTGTGGAGGCCAAATCTCGAAACCCTTGTTGGTGTTATAGATCTCGTCTTTGTAAAGATAAAGATAATTACTCTTGTCTTGTTGATGATGATGATCCTTGTCTACTTGATGATGATCTTGCTTGTTGTTGATGTTGTCTCTCCCTCCTAGATAGAAGAATCCTGCCATTTCTTTCCCAAGTGATAAACATACCCCAAAGAGATCCAAGAAAGAGTAAGAATGTTTTCTTTGCTTGGAAAGATTGAGAGTAAAATGAAGTGAAAGATTGGATTAATTAAGAGACTGCAAACGATGCCATAGAATTAGCCTATCTTAATCATTTTAGACAGCAAGTTTTGATCTCTGAAAGTGGTAGTTGCTAAGTTTCTCTGGTCTCTCTCTCTCTCTCTCTCTCTCTCTCTCTCTCTCTCTCTCTCTCTCTCAGAGAGAGAGAGAGAGAGAGAGAGAGAGAGATGAGGTATTTAAGACATAGAGAGTCTCATGAAGATCTTTTGCTTTGGGGGACTTCACTACAGTTATCTTCCAGCTTGAGTGGATCCCCATCACATAAATATCACTCACTATATATGTTTAAAAGAAAAGAAAAAGAAAGATAAACTGACACATTATTTTATGTAATTTTCTTAAAGTAATAATGCAAATGTTTATTTTCATGGCTTCAACTGGAGCATTAGAAGAAATTTGTGCTTTGAAACATCGATTCAAACCAATACAAAATTGTATATAAATCGAGATTTCACGAGTTGTTCATTATAGCGATCATATTTATTCTCTACATCTCTTATCTGTATTTTCACAATCCTTTGTTACAATCAAAATACATGTAAAAGATGAAATTAATTATACTACACTAAATTAATGCCGTCAATTAAAATGCATCTTTTATCGATATTTCAGTGTCCAGAATAGTATGCGTGAAGCTTTTCCTTTTGGTGTAACTGGGAATTAGTAAAAAAAAGATGAATGGAAAATAGTTATTGATAGAATTTAATGGAATATAATTATTTCATTTATTCATGTGACTTTTTAACGTGGAATGTTTTACCAAAAAAATTAAAATAATAATAAAATATATTTTTTCATTTTTCATTTTAATTAGTGAATATTTTCTAAAAGTATAATCTATGAAGATTTTAGTTTATAAAGGTGCATTCCACTTGCAACCTTATATCATTTAGATAAGGATTTAATTCCGCCTAATTTATTAAATATCTGACTTCGTATTTTTGATATTTAATTTTTTGTGAAGTGCATAGTTTTTAAAAAAGCAGCCAAAATAAATTAGATGGAAAAAAAAAAGCAGCCAAAATATTGTTAGAGTAAAAATAATTAAACTAGACGAAATAATTCGAAGCTCTCCTACTGTTAATACTTAGAACTGTAGTATGTCAATGGTAATAAAGTGCCACGTGTTTGAACAGGTAGTTTTTCTCCACTTCTCCCTCCCCCGTAAAACCCTCCCAACCGTTAGTTTATCTTTTCTTTTTCCCTTTAGTATGTAAACAATAAAAGAAAGGGAAAAAAAAATAATTGTTTTAACAATAATACCAAAAAATCAAAAATGATAATTGTTCTCAAAAGGATTACGGAAGTCTAACGTCACGTTGCTTTGACATTTTATCGTCACGGACGGTCTTATCGTAAGGATTACAGCTTAAATACGGCGATTAGACCTTTGACGCAGACGAAAAATATAACTTTCAACGAAGCCTACGTGTGCTAATTTCTCTATAATTTATGTTTTATTCGTCTAACCAGGGTTACGTGGCTTTAATAAAGTGTATATACATTTTTTTTCCTTTTTTGATGGCATTAAAGTGTATATTTTTTTTTCCAAGGCATTAATAAATTACTAGAACTTGACCCGCACCCCCGTGCGGGTTTTTGATTTAACTTGTGCTTAATATAAATTCATAAACCTTTGGTTTTTTACAATTTTTTTTTTTTTTTGTAATTTACATATAAAGTAAAATATATTATTTTATAATATAAATATTTAATAATAATTTTTATTTGTACATAGTAGTATATTAGAAATTTTATAACTTGATGCAATTTGATGTAATCGTACTATTCATACTAACATGTTGTTTTTTTGTTAATTTATTTTAAAATAAAACAACATACTAAAAATTATTTTTTTGAATTAGTTTTCTATGAATTATCATTAATTTTATGATATTTGTTTTTTAAATTGAACTCACACAATTTTATATTTGACTGAATTAAATAAGGTAATATTATATTTAAAAATTATTTTATATAATGTATACTATATATCGGTTTGTGTTTTTATTTTCATCACAGAGAAAGAAAAATCATTGAAATTAATTAACTTAAACTGATTTTAAATGCAATGACATAATCTGTAAATAACAAGAAATACAAAAGGAAAGTATTTAATTTATTGTAAATACAATGGCTAAATGTACAAATAAAAGAAAATACTCAATCTACTATCTATGTTTCCAAACAATGTTTCATTTATTTTGCTATCTTTATTTCCAAACACTATCAAAAGGTACTTCAGTTTTAATAATATAGATACAGCTTATGAGGTGATATACTTAATCACGTATGAAAACTTGCCTTTTAACCGTAACTAAATCTGGATCTGCACAATCGTGCGGATAGTTTAATACAAAAATATTTGAAATTATATAATAAAATTTATCAATAAGTAAATATAATTTGATTATGTATACTATCTAATTTTATAATAATGTTTATGTGACTTATATATTACTAATATAAAATTTATAAATTTGTATTTTTGTAATATTTTTTAAAAACATTATTATGTAACATTGCTAATTTATATATTTTGTTTTATTTCTAAATTTGAAATATATGTAAGAAGTAAATTAAGTTGGACCTACATAATACATAATTTTTTTTTGGATATTGTTAAAAGTATTTTACAGAATTTTAGTTTTTTTTGAATTAAATTTTTAATTAAATTTTATGATAATTCAAATTTTAATCAAATAATTTTTGAAACTATATCTTGAAAATATTCTAAAAGATTTTTAAAAGATTTTGTAAGAATTTTCTTAAAACTATTTATTTATATTTCAAATAAAAATTGAAAGATATGAAAATATATTATAATGATGTTATGTAAAAGTTTATAAAATTTCTAAGGATTGTCCTAAGTAAAAAATCACACATGAAGTGAGTCATGACTTCTCTTTTGATATAATATAGATAAGAAGAATACCAAGAAAAATTCCAGTTTACTCATTTTTATATGTTTTTGAATTATATGTAATGTGATCGAGTTGGTCCCCTGATCAATTTAGAATCTAAAAAAATCTGTAAATTCGTATTTCTTAAAAAAATTCAAAAAAAAAATATCGTGTAGGTTGGTGAATAATGGTACTGGTACAGTATGTAGATTTTATAATGCAATTACTTTTTTGTCTTCAGAAAACCAGCTAGACGTGTTTCCATAATTAAACATATAACCGGTGCGTAGTAAATATGTAAAAAGACGATAAGATAAGGGGTTTTATGCAACTGAACTATAATATTGAAAATGAACTACAATAAAAATATGTGCGCAGAAGGATTTTTGATGGACAGCGATCCCTAGTCTAAGGTTTAGCTCACGAGTCATTATTATTCGCGGATGAATGAATGTGATCGTGAATGAATGTGATCGCCTTCCATTCTTACCCAAACCCTTACATGAATACTATGTATTTTCTATATTTCGATCTTTTAGCTCGTTCCAACTGAAGTAGAAGACTTATTAGCTTTCATGTTCATCTTTCAAATTTTTGAAAACTATAAAAGCGATACCAGAACAATTGTGATCCTTAATTATTTACAAACGAGGAGCAACGTAGCACTAAAACAATTCATTCAGAGAAAAAAACGTAACACTAAAACAACCCATATATCCATATACAATTATACATATGTATGTGATCATGACACTTAATACACTATTTTCCGAAGGAAACCGTCCGTGGTTTTATCTGAAACTGGCTACTATTAATTATCATTTCACAAATATTTTATACAAATACGTAGCAATTGGTCTACATGTTCTTTAAATTGACTAAAGATTATGCATTGAGTCATAAGTTGAATTGTCATTAGAAGTTAGAACCCAAGTAAGCAGACCCACTCTAGTTAGTGTCTTTCATCACGTGGAACCGCGTGTATTAGCGGCGCAATTTGCATTTGATAATGATCATTAGGCGCATTTGATATTAAATAAATAATTTCCAAGTTTATATTTGGGTGGAAGACCTTTTTAGTCTCGTGGCTGACAAAGAATTCATTTATTTTCTTTTGCTTGTATCTCGTTTAGATGAGTTCGAATTTTCAGAAAAAAATATCGATTGATATATATATTAATTATGAAAGCAATTTATTGAAAGTAATAGTTTATTGAAAATAATTAACATTAGTACCAATAAAACAAAAACTTTATTGAACATTTTCAACGAACTGGGTATAGTCTTTCGTTTTGCTCATATTTGTTAAAATGCAAATATCTGTTGTGAGTGTGTGTAACACACCTAAATTGCCTAGAAAAATATGTACATTTAACATTTATATCAATAGTGGATTTCCTCTCTTAAAACTGAATAACAATTTTCTTTTTTTTTTTTTTTTTTTTTTTTCTGAACAACCTTCCAATACACATATGATGTGAATACCTATATCAAAATTCCAAACAATATATATATACATATATATATATATATATATATATATATATATATATATTCTAAGTAAAAATGTTTAGTATATGCACTTTTTAGATATTTTATACAATTTATAAATTATTAACTATATAAAGCTAGTCTTTATCAAATAAAATAAAATTAAAATCAATGTTCCACAATTACAGTTTTGATTCATACATTAGATTATTCGTACATGAAAATTAAAATCCAAACCCTACGGGCTTAATGAAGTATGTGTTACAAAAAAAAAAGATTATTCATACATGATATCAGCCTTATCAGGTCACGAGTGAGTTTTGACTTCTCAATTCTTATAGCTAGATTTGATCAAATCTTCGTTATCAACAGGCTAATTAATACCCAACCGATTCCACAATATAAAGTCTTACTGGTACCATCAGTATTCAGTAATATACATATAAACTTACACTAATATGCTTGAAGATGATCATTGAAGATTGGCGTATATAATTTTGTTTTTTGTGATAAGAAAGTTACATGTCGCGCGACCTGCAGATTGCGGTTAATTGTTGGTTGTTGTTTGTTTTGATGTTATTTTAAGTTGCTAAAAGGAAAGTGGCAATAAATTAATTTTCTTTAAACAACATGCAATAACGAAATTAATAACATTTTATCACAGATTGTAATCGAAAGTTGTAAATCGTGAAA